GACTCCCCCAACCAACCAACCCAATCAATCAATCAATCAATCAATCAATCACCAATCGATCAATCATAAATCAATCAATCATAAATCAATCAATCAATCAATCAATCAATCAATCAATCAATCAATCAATCAATCAATCAATTTTTATTTCTTTATTTTGCTTTTTGTTTCGCGTTTCAATGTTTTTTATTTTTTAAAAATATAAAAAGACAAAAAATAAATAAAAAATATGGGGGTCTAGAGCACGAAAAACTCTACATCCCCATATATATGTATATATAGATATAGATATATAGATATATATATTACGTTTTTTTTTTAGGGTTTTCGTCACTTTGTACGGGACCGGCCATACGGCCATACGATCGTTCGTACGGCCGTACGACAGAAACCCCGTACGACGTACGGGGTGCAACACAGACGCCGTGTACCCGGAGGTAGCTAACTCGAGGCCAAAGGTGAAGCTCCCATCATACAACTACATGAGGACAGTCATGTTAAACATCATCTATATGAAGATCCAAAAGGAGGTGAGCCCGATGACGAGCTGCTGGGTCTCGACTTGATGCATGTTCATCACTTACCGGTCAACTGACCGCAGGAATCGGCCAGTGATGAACTTCTTGGCGACGAGGGGGCAAGGGGCGGTGCTCATGGCGACGGTGACAATGAGTGGTCACGGTAGGAAGAAAAATGTGGTGGCATTGGCAAAGTTGTGGGAGCAGGTAATGGGGGAGATTGGATGGCAACGCATCAACGCGATCTGCACCGACAACGCTGAAGTTAACAAGAAGGCGGCACAGATCCTAGAACGACGCAAGGACAAGGACGTGGCCATAATTCCATGGATTCCTTGTGGGGCACACTGTTGCAGTCTTCTTCTGAGTCCTAAAGGATTTTGCCACCTATCTTGAATCAAGGGCACAGTGAAAACCGTGAACACAATCGTGAAGTTCATCCGGAAGCATCATGCCACACACGACTTGATGATGACTGTCGATGACTCGTTGTCTTTGCTTCGTCCGACGGAAGTGCGGTTCGAATCTATGTATCACATGCTCCACCGACTAGCAGACAGAGAGGATGTTCTTGTTGAGATGGTGGATGGGAGGTCGGTTGAAAAGTGGAGAGCGTTGAGATGGTTTGGGGAGAAGTTGCGCCGGAGAGCCGACCTCGTGTACTACACGGTGAGGTCCAAGGCATGGTGGCTGCAGGTGAAGAGGATTGTGGACATCATGCGCCCGATCTTCCAGTTGCTGAAGAGAATGGACACAGAAGGCACACCTCCCACCAATCTTGTTGATTACGATGATATGATTGCAAATTGCAATGGGCGAAAATTGATGAACGTGGTGCTGACGAAGAAGGATCGGGAGGATGTCATTGAGAAGGTGTGTAACCGTGTTCTAATGATGAGGCAACCAATTCATGCGGCTGCATTCGTTCTTGATCCACAGCGGACGAATGAACGCTGGCTCTTCGATCAGAACAGTCCAGTGATGCAAAATGCAATGCGCTTCTTCTTGAGGCTGATCGGAGGTGAGTAAAACAGCAAGGCACATTCTGACTTGTGGGGAGAACTGATGGAGTTCCAGGAGCAACCGTCGGGGGTTGTGACAGAGAGTGTGTGCATGGAGCCCGGGAAAGCTATGAAGAAGCACAAGGATGAGCACATGCGGGAAGTTGGGAACAACTGGCGGCGGACGATGTGAAGAGGCTAAACCCTGTGACCTGGTGGGCAGCACATGGTCGGGATGTCCCAACCCTTCATGCAATTGCGATCAAGGTCATGGGGATGTGGAGCACTGCGACCCCCGTTGAGCGCAACTGGGCATCCATGGACTTCGTCCACATAAAGAGACAAACAGTTTGTCCCCAACATCCCTCGAGAATCTCGTCTACATACAATGTCATTGGAACATGCAGTTGCTGCGAGCTATGTATCCCCAGCGGCCGCGGGCATGACCGCAGCCCACGGTCGGGGCCGCGGCCGAAATCGGCCCGCTGCGGTGAAGGGGAGGGGGGTCCTGCCAATCGGGGTCGGGATTCCGACGGCGCGACCAGGGCTCCACCCCCCCCCATTGAAAAAAAAGAAAAACAATAAGAAATGGGAGGGGGTCCATTTTAGGCGGGGGGGCGAGGGAGGGGAAGGGGGGCAGAAATGGACCCCTTTTTTTTTTTTTTTACTTTTTTTTTTCCGTTTGATTGAACGATTGTATAGTTTTTTATTGTAAACTTTTTTTTTTTTTGATTGATTGATTGATTGACTACTTGATTGATTGATTGATTGATTGATTGATTGGTTGGTTGGTTGGTTGATTGATTGATTGATTGATTGATTGGTGGGGAAGGGTTC